GGGTGCTGCTCTGTTTTTGCAGAGCTAGTTCCTCTTTTTTTAAGTTTAATTTGTTTTGTCTTTTAGGCCGTGTAGGCTTCGATTTTACTTTCTGTTGTTATTTACAGGTATCTGCAATGCATTTTCTCTCCTCATTGTTGGAGGCTGCGTCACATCGGTTGGTCTTAACCACTATCATCGGCTCCTTGACTCCACATATATTTCTTCTGTTGTTTATCCTCGATGGAACTGTTGGAGTTTGGGAAGTCCTTAAAGTGCAAATCGCACTTATTGCCTGGATTATGGTAGTGCTACTCCTACTTGGTGTAGCTTTGGTGGCTTGCCCACCACCATTTTCTGTTGATCACTGGTATTTCCTTGGTGGGTGTCGGCTAGCTACGGTGGCGCGGCTTGTTAATGTAGGATTGTGCCGCATTTGTCCGTTAATGGTGTTAGGGTTTCCTAATGAGCTTTGTGGGCTTTTGCATTTTGTGGGTTTTATACCTTTATGTGGGCCCTTCGCCTCTATGTGGGCTTTATGCCTTTATATATGCCTTATGCATTTTGTTAGTTTTATTTATAGTGGGCTATGTCTGTATGCATTGCATTTTGTGTGAACTCAATTATTTGAGTTCATTTTGATGTAATATGGCGTTTGACCTTCTATTAAATGAAACAAGATTTCGTCCAAAAAAAAAAAAAGTACACAAACAAAATCTCACAACACCTACATTGCGCCTGCGGCCATATCATTTGGAGGACACACAAATCCTTGCACTACAAGAAACATATGAAATAGGTAATAAGCGAGCTCAAGCGCATCGAACCACAAGAAACAAAATTCTCCTTTCAAAACTAGAGTTAACCACTCACGTTCCCTCCCTATCTACATTTTCTAGGGTTATTTTGGAACTCACAACCTTTTTTTCTTATTTTATACAAGCGATAATGGAAAAGGGAGAATTGAACCTAGGACCTTCGGACCTCAAGTGGAAAGGTAAATGCTCTTCCCCACTAGAACTACAAGACCTGTTCATTGGAAAGAAATTAAATACAAAACGGTGGGTCTTTTGTACCTTCGTCACTTAAATGCACGTTTCCTTGGCGGACAGAAATGCTGCACATTTGGAATTTTCGGTTGCTTGAAATAAAAATTAAATTAAATTAATATGATGCAAACCTGGGGCAGGGGTACAGAAAGATATTACAAAACTTTTGGTTTTCTTTTCCATTTCCACATTTCTCCTTTTCTTTTTCTCAAACTTCTTTTCCATAATCAAGTGGAAGAAAGGTGATGGATGAATAAATTAAAATGTTCACACAAAGGACCAGTTCATGAAGGAGAATGCAAGGCAGTGAACAGAGTTCTCTTCTGCAGCAAGTACTTTCCATGCAACAGCTTGTTCATATGACACGTGGCGACCCATTGTGGACATGCAAATGCCAGCTGGCAAGTGAGCAAATCCCTAATAAAAGAAAATAAAAAGGTTAAAAGAGAAATTTCTCTGGACAAATAAGTTCACATGACATGCTTTTCACTTTGCTGATTTATGGCAATAAAAAATGAAGGTACAATGGGAGATGGCATATAATGGCTTACAAGAAACTCAAATCTCAAACATTTAAACAAAGTATTTCCAAGCATCCATAATCAACAAACAGAAAGCCAGGCATTTTGATGAAGGAAATAATATACGGATAATTCTGATGTAAAACTCACCTGGTTCATAAGTTTAGCAAAGTCAGCACACAACGTCTTGCGTCCACACTCATCAAAAATCTTATCCAACGAGATGTCCTGAAGGGCAACTAACGTTGTCTCGAGCATGTCGAGCCCTGCCTGGTTTGCGAAGATGAAAACCGGGAGTGACTGCAAAACCAACAATTCCACAGATTATGATCTCCAGAAATTATTGAACCTGATGACATGCTGAATTCATATGCTAATGGGAGTTGATATAAAATATTTAACATCTTTGCCAGCGGCTTGGCACTTGTACCTTCAATGAACAACACAAAATGGCATCTTGGTGATGCCATAAATGTTTCAGCATCGAGTCGCCACCCAAGGAATCAGGTCTCAGCAGTTCTGCCCCAACATGATAACTGAAAGGGTAAAAGAAAAGAATTGAGACAAATTATTTGCGTATACAATTTAAAGAAACATGTATAGCTAACACTAAAAAATATTAGATGGCATATCAAAGAAGCCTGTCAGAAGAGAGGTTCTTGAAGCCCTCTCTGCATGCAGAGTGAGCACTCAAGCATGATTCTCCTCAATTCACTTTAATGTGTTTGTATATCACCACCAAGCCAAATTGGTAAATTGGTAAATTGGTCGGGCATGTCTCCTAACAGATTGAACATGCAGTCTTAAGGATTCAAAAAAGAACTTGCCTATAGCTCTGGCAGATCCAGTGAGCCAGTGTCAGAGCTTCTGGAGAGCCAGGAGACAGTTTTGGTCCCCCCACAGACGGACTCAGTCCAGATGGAGATATAGCCATCGCAACTCTCTGTACAGATGAAATGACACTTCGAA